CCGTTTTGGCGCTACAGTCTGTAGTGACAGAAGTTTTCTGGCCGACTTTAAACAAAAAGCTAGGCGGTAGTGAAATGTATATGAAAACTGCTAAATTCGTTGCAATAGTTGTATCAAAATTTCAAAGCAATCGGAACTTTAGCGGTTTTAATCAAACGGGCATTTACGTGTTTATTAATTATTCACTGTTTTAAAAAAAATTGATATTGATAAAAATATAGCTCGTCAATAGCTACGAAACAGAGAGAAAAAAAAAATTGGTTCAGAAAAAGAGGAGATAAAAGTACTGATTGTTTTGTCTTTTTATATAATGATAATAAACCAATACATTTGCTTAAAAACAGATTTAAAAAAAAAACCATGAACAATGAAAGGGATAAAAAGAAAGAAAATATTTACATTACTCATAGAAACTAACCACTTTTGTATATTTATATATAAGTTTATTTATTGTACTACGGACTAACGAGTATGCTGTGTATATAGCTACTCAATATAATTCTGCAGCGACCTTTTATTTTATATGAAAATAAAGTGTTTCTATCTCTATTTACTCCTATTTAGTTTTTACGTTGCATAAGGCAATCAAGTATGACTGAAGTTTCCCGAGTTTTCTAAGATAAATAAATAATATTTATATATTAAAAATAAAAGAAATATTTAAATGAGTGAAAAATTCAAAAAACAATTTACTTCTCGTTTTAATAAAAAAAGAATCGAGGGGAAAAAAAGAATAACTGTGCTCCACCTTGAAGTCAACTATCCAACTGACAGTTCGATTTACCCGAAGTATGTGTCCTTCCTTAATGAGCTCTGACAGTGACTAGAAGAGTGAGAGAGTTGCCTCCTCGATATCGCCTTCAGCGAGCGGCCAATCCCTCGGAAGTGGAAGTGTAAAGCAATAAAGATAAGGAATAAGAAAAGGCACGGGCGACTTGATCAATGGATCCAGGAAAAGCTTCTTTTATTGCTTGTTTACTTTTCTTGGCTCCGTTTTGGCCGGTTGCAAAAGGAAGAAAGAAAAAAAAAAGTTGTCCTTGGAAAGGAATAGACGATAAAACAAGAATGCGATTAAATTCATGGCGAAAACGCTGACCGGTCTCTGTATTTTCGACGCAGTTCTCTCGACGTTCGAATCTTACGTATGTGGGCGTTTTCTTCTCACGTTTCGGTGGGTGTGTCGATAATCTATTGGTCTAAGTAAAGATTTAATTGTTAAAAATGAATGAAGAAGATAAATTATATATCGATTCATTATGGAGCGTTCAGTAGTAAAGGTTGTGAATACGATTAAGTTCATTGAGACTACGAAGCCTGCATATATGAATTCTCTTAATAACTATTCGGATGTCCTTGATTCGATTTCTGGTCGTGAAGATAACAAGGCGAATGCGAATCAGACGTAAGCGGAAGGAACGTTATGAATGCAAACAACTTTCAATAAAGATTTCATTTAGCCTTCTAACTACTACGTAAGCAGGTTTATTTATAAATAATATACACAAACATAAAAATAATAAGTCTGCCAAATAAATCAGTTTAGCTTCCTACCCATGTTCACTGAATATATAACAAAATACCCACACATTCATAACCCTCACTAACAGTGTAACATTATTTAAAACTTAATAAAATAAAATATGTAAAATAATTATTCTCACAATATTTCTCGCTTCTTCTTCGGTGCATACTGTTTGCATGCGTCTACTCATAATAAAACATGTGGGTGACACATGATAAGGTAACTTTAACTTATTTGAATCATTTAATAAGAAAGAATTGGGTAATAATGATGTTATAAAATAATTAAAGGTGGACATGACAAGAATAAAAAATGTTTTATTATGAGTAGACGCATGCAATTCGCATAAGTGAAAAGGACAGATACCTGATGAGTATTTAGGTATGTAAAAAGAAAAATCTTTATATTTTGAAATATGTAAAGTTTAAATATGATTGCAAATTAAAAAAAAAATTTAGACTTGAAAATGGCTCGACTAGCAGAAACGTCGTAATTTAGATGAGTAGTCATTAAGTTGACAAAATTAAAAATTGGTGTAAAATTGCCTGATAATAAATAAACTTGAAAATAAAATAATAATTACAAAAGTAAACTTTATTCTGGGAAATTTAGTCCCATGAGAATAAGAATAATGAACTACATAAGTGTCATTTGTCTTTCGTTAAATGGCAAGAAAATATTAATTAAAAAATATTTACAATTATAATATCAGTATATTTACATGTATATACAGATAAGGAATAGTGATAATATATATATAGATAACTGTGAAATAATAGTAAAACATAGGCATACAAAAAAGCATATAGGTAACCGTATAAACATAATGTAGTACACAGGTAGCATTGAAGTATAAGGCAATATATAGATAACTATAAAATAACAGTAGAGGATGACAACACTTTAATACGAAAATTTGATTCTTACGTACAGAAGATGGATAAATAATTGGTGTTTAAAAGAAGTTAAAGATTTTGTTTTGCGTATGAACCCGGGGAAGGAATTTCAAGGTAGAAGGCATTATAAAGGATTAAAGGAATCAGTTCTGTGTGGATATACAGGTTTGTGGGCTTGGTTCTCGTCTTGAGAGAATGGGCAAAGGAACAAGGAATAATCTAATCAAGAAAGTGATTAGGATTTTTGTTTGGAAAATGAATAAACTTAGGAATATTGCCGTCGGAAAAATCGGATAGAGCCACTTCAACATGATATATCAACTGGAGACGTGGGAACGCCTGGGGACTCCAATGATGGATCTAATGAAACAATTCATCAGCCTCTTCAATATCATCTCAAATCCATCAGAAAGTCTGTCGTAATCAAGACAACCATAATCGAAGTGAATAAAAATGAGAGAGGAAACTAGGACCTGGAGGGTTTTAACGAGCATGGAATCACGGAATCTGAAGAACTACTTGAGGGTAGCAATATATTTTCGGATAATATGGGAAGAATAGTTCTACCAGGACAGGTATTACCCCTAGATTTCTAATAGAAGAGTGGAAGCGAATAGGTAGCCTATTATTCAATTATTATTAGGTCACACCATTCAACTTTAAATCATAAATCGCATCCCATGCGTTAATACTTGGACTCCAAGTTGATGAGCCACTCGTTCAGGTAAAACATTCACTTGTGCACCAGTATCCAATTTAAAAGTCACCTCCTGTCCAGAAAGCAGCAACTTAGCCTTCCACTCTCTTTCAGAATTTTTTCCTCTTACCATATTAATAAAAAAAATCATCATCCTCAGACGGATATCCTTCTTGAATATCTTTAACCATCCTTGGATTGGTTACACTTCTTCTACATTGGGAAGCAAAGGGATTAAGTCCTCTGCATCTTATATATATGTATCTATAAGCAGGACACTTTCCTGCAGGATGCTCGAGACCACAATACTTGCATTTTATAATCTTGTGAGCTGAAGGCTCCCCTTGGCTTACACTCTTCTTACCCCTTCTAGTGAAGTATACATCCATAGCTCCAGACATTTCCTCACCTTGTTGCCTAGGTGCTACCATTAATTGACACTGTTCCAGAACCTTATCCATTGTTAAATTCCGATCCTTCAATTACCTTCCTCTCATCGAACTATCTTTAATGCCTGAAATATAGCGTGCCACTAATAACCAATCTAATAACTGTCCAAATTCACAACAACTAACAATATCCCTTAACCTAACTGTATAATCACTATACGTTTCCCTTTCTAACTGTAAACAAACAAAAAACTTATTTACATAAATAATATTCCTTCTGAGGAATGAAATAGTCATCCAGGTGCTTAATTATGTCTTTTAGCGTTTCTAACTTAATAGGCAAACTATTCAAAATTTTTATTATTTTCCCCCCTGCTAAATGTTTAAAAATAGCACACTTACGTTTTTCTTCATAATTATTCCCTCCTATTGCTTCAATATAAATTTCGTATCTGCCTTTAAATTCAGTCCACTCTTGAGCAGGATCACCATTCCAATCCATGGATCTTGGGGTTTGCATAAACGATTCCATTATTGTTATCCCAACTATTTTAGTAAATTAGATGCAATGTCGGGTTTTTGGCAAATAGCACTGCTTAAGGAGAGTGCAGATCTATGCACTTTTAATACACCTTGGGGAAGGTATAAGTTTTTGCGTCTTCCCTTTGGAATAATTTGTGCCCCAGAAATTTTCCACTCGACTAAAGAAAATTTTTGGAGATTTGGATGGTTGTGAGGTTTTTGTGGATGATATACTGGTGTGGGGTTGTACCAGAGAAGAGCACGATGCTAAGTTGAAGGCTGTTCTAGACAGAGCTAGGGAAGAGAATGTTAAATTTCAAGAGAATAAGTGTATGTTTGGAGTAAAAGAAGTAGTGTACATGGGTCATCGTTTGTCTGAAAGGGGAATACAGCCAGATAAAGACAAGTTGACAGCCATAGAGGGTATGGCTCCTCCTGAATCAAGAAAAGAACTGGAAAGATTTTTAGGTTTAGTGAACTACCTAGGAAAATTTATTAAAAATTTAGCGCAAATTAAGGCTCCTTTACGCCTTTTATTGCAAAAAGAGGTAGAATGGCATTGGGAGGAGAACCAACAGACATCCTAACAGGCTCTGAAGCTGGCTTTAACTACTGAACCTGTCCTTAGATATTATGATCCTAGTTTACCAGTAACTGTGTCTGTAGATGCTTCACGGGACGGTCTAGGAGAAGTTTTAATGCAAGATGGTCAGCCACTTGCATATGCTTCAAGAAGTTTAACTGAAACTGAAAAAAGATACGCTAATATTGAGAAGGAAATGTTGGCTGTTGTATTTGGATGCGAGCGTTTCTATAGCTATACTTATGGTCACCCTTTTAAGGTCGAATCGGACCATAAACCCTTAGGAATGATCCACAAAAAGCCTATTCATCTATGCCCTTCTAGGTTGCAAAATATGTTATTGAAATTACAAAGATATGAATTTGAATTAATTTACAAACCGGAAAAGGAAATGTGGGTTGCTGATACCCTGTCAAGAGCAAGTGTTGGAAAATCTAAACAGGAGGAAGAAAAAGAAGCATTTGTCATTGGTTTGATTAAGAACATGCCTATTTCTGATAAAAAATGTGACATTGTTCGCAAAGAAACCGAAAAAGATGAAGAACTGAAGGCAGTATGCGAGTGGATAGATGAAGGATGTCCCAAAACTAAAGATCCGTTGCTTGGAAGATATGAGTCGGTTAAGGACGAACTGACATTTTGTGATGGAATTATCTTCAAAGGATGTCAGATAGTAGTACTTAAGTCCTTAAGGATGGACATGTTAAGGAAAATACATTATGCTCACCAAGGGATGACAAAATGTTGTGCCAAAGCTAAAGGGCTTCTTTATTGGCCAAACATGAAAAATGACATTAAAAATATGGTAAAACATTGTGAGATATGTCAAAAATATGCCAATTCCCAATGCAAGGAGCCTATGGTGTTGCAGGAGGTAGCAGAAGGACCATGGAGTTGCAGGGCTTGAAATATTTAATTGTTGTGGATTACTATTCTAAATTCTGTGAGGTATCTATGCTTGAGGACTTGGCTGCTAGCTGTCTTATCAAATCTCTAAAACAAATTTTTTCAAGACATGGAATTCCTTGTGAGGTAATCACAGATCAAGGATCACAATTTAGTAGTTCTGCATTTTTTGAATTTGCAAAGCAGTGGGATTTCAAAAGTAGCATGGTCAGCCCAAAGCATCAACAGGCAAATGGATTAGTAGAACGTCATATACAAACCATTAAAAGGATGCTAAAGAAATCACTAGAAGCTCGAACTGATCCGTTTCTGTGCTTGCTCGAATTAAATAATTCACCATTTGCAGATATGCCCTCCCCTGCTGAACTACTGATGAGTAGACGCCTGAGAGGAGTCTTGCCCCTATCTAATAGTCATTTACAATCAAAGGTGGTAAAGGAAAGTGAGATAAAGAAGATACTTCAAGAGAGGCAGAAAAGGAGCAAGGGTTATTATGACAGAGGGACAAAACCTCTCAGAGACTTGCAGGTGGGAGAAAAAGTTCAGGTGCAGACAAGTCCGTTTTCGGAATGGGTTCCAGCCAAGGTGATCGGGAGGATGGATCGCCCAAGATCATATTGCTTGCGAAAGGACGAAGGTGGGGGAGTCATAGAGAGAAATAGAAAGCACATTAAACCTCTTTTAAAGTACAATGGTAGCCAAGAAGAAGAGCAGCAAGGGGCAGAGGGAGGAGAAGAACAGCAAGAAGAAGGTAATGAGGAAGAGCAGCAAGGAGAAGATACTGAAGAAGAACAGCCAGAGGATGAGGAAGAAACTTTGTTTGATGGTTATGTCACCAGAGCAGGGAGGCTAGTGAGAGCACCAAGGTGGAGAGAGTGACTTCAAGAAGGGAGATGTTAAGATATGTAAAATAAGGTTATGTATATATGGGACTACTGTAAGTAAGGATAACAGGTGTGAGGTTATATGAATCTAGATGTGTAAGCTTGTTAATAAAACATTTAATCATCTAGTGATTATTACTTAAATAAAGACATACAACAATTCAATTATTATTAGGTCACACTATTCAACTTTAAATCATAGCTCGCATCCCATGCGTTAATACTGTCGAAATCTTCTTGTAGCCGTCGGATCACCTCAAGCAATTTGGTAGAATGGAAGGAAAGATAGATGAGGTATTCATCAACATACATGTGGTATTGTGAATGAGGGATGGAATCAGGAAAGTCGTTAATATGAATGGAGAAATGAATTGTAGAGAGCGAATCCCTGAGGAACACCACGAGTAAGTAAGAGATGGAAATAAGGATTTCTATTGGGAATGATGAATGTTCGGGATCTATGATATAAGAAGTAGTAAGCACGGCTAATAAATTACATTAAGTTTAAAAGTAATATAATTACTCATTGTCGTATATGTACTGCCTACTTCATTCCACAACCATTATATACTGAACAATTGCATTAATTTTATTTGTTGAACGAAAATTTATATCAAATTATTCCTTAGATTTCTTCTAGCTTGGAACATAATTGAATGAACCAATTTTGAAATATAGATGTATCAAAATATGTCTGCGTAATGTATTCCATGAGCGGATGTAGAGTGTGGAATTCCATTAAATTGAAATATGACTACCCAAGTCCAAACCCGCATAATCCCCAAAATAAAAATTGGATTTACGGTAGATGATATGCTTGTCAGATGGATCCGTCAACAGACAAACATGGAACCAAATATTCCCTTGAAGCCCAAAACTTGAAACGCGGGTAAAAATTTGCAATTATATGTACAAAATGTTTGTATAACCTCCCGAACGAATGCAAAGCTTCCCTCAACTTAGCAATGAGGAAGCAAAATTTATAAAAAAAAATAATATTCATTTCAAGAACATCCTCCGTCATTAATTTAACCACAATGGACAGTATAGAAATTAAATAATTGATTTTTCATATATTCGTTTTACGCGCCAAGCACTGGTTGTTTTTACGCAGTCACCAATGACAACATATTTTCGTACTATTTTTTTACATGTTTATAGGAATTAGGATTTTTGAACCTTCTAAGTACCGTTTTATCAGATTTCCTAAAAAATTTAGAAATTTAATAATATCTTTAAAATATGGTTAATAACAAATTGTACACTTATGAGTATTCTATGGTCTTCAAAACGAAACTGGAAAAGATTTTATGTCAGTACATCACAGAAATATGTTCTGAAAACGGTTACAAAACTTTGCATTGTCAAGAGATAAAAAAAAAAGTTAAGAAATAAAAGATATAGTTCTCTGAATCTTCTGTATTATCATAAAATTATCTTGTATTTTTATATCTTGTTGAATATTGATAATTGAATTTGTTTACTAAGCAGATCTTGGCTCTTTGATTGCAATATGTTATTAGCAGTAATAAAACTGCTGATCAAACATTTTTAGTGGTCAATGTACTCAGATGCTATTAGTCAAATTTTATATTGCATATTTGATATTAAAGGCACATAGTGCATATTGTAATAATTGAAATAATGTAGAAAAAAAATAAAATAATAATGGTCCGTTGAAACTATTTTTTTGTTCAATTCTTAATTGAGAACACTAGCGGATCCAGGTTTTAATTTTTTTTTGGGGGGGGGCTTCAGCCCGGAAGTTTTTTTTTTTCATATATATAACGATAATTACTTTAGAAAAACAGAAAGATACTAACTACCTACATGAAATGGTGTTTAAGTGATTTTTGAAGTCCTATTAAATGTAATTAAATGAGCAATAATACTTTAAGACATAATTTTTTAATATTTTTTACCTTGAAACATGGTTAAATTTTACCATTTTGGGGGGGGGGGGACTTCATCCCGAAAGCCTCCCCGTAAATCCGCCTGTGATTGAGAAATATAATAATCTGTCACATGTAATGACAATAGTAATAGTGATAGAAGAGTAGCTCATTCACACTGTATGTGCTATGAATCAAAGTAAATAAACAGCAAAATAATAATAATAAAAGTAAATATATATAAACTAAAGGAACAAAAAGAAACTAAACTATTCCAAACTACTCAAATACACACATGGTTTCATAAAATATTTACAAAATTCATACACTCGATATCTCTGAGCCAAGTCTCGTGAACGGAAATGCAGGACTCTGGGAGATCCCTGCGCCTCTTACTCAGCCGCAGTACTGCTATTAAACGTTACCAGTTGAAATACAAAAAAATTCAACGTACCTAAAAATTGAATATTAGCGTTGCCCAAAATCGGTCTTTGCAAGACCAAGATCAAGACCAAGACCAAGACTCGTAAAAGAAATCGATTTTTTGAATAAAAATAAAGGTAAAATAGTTACTAATACTTGACAATTTTATTTATTTTATGTAAGTAATTGTTATAACCAACATACTTTTGTATTTAACTCTTGTAATTTTTCATTCAGGCTTAGTTAGGTTTCTCCTATCTAAAAAATTACAGTAATATTTCTATAGTAATAAGCCAATAGGTAACTGCAAGACTGTTGCGATACTCTTGAGCAAGACCAAGACCAAATCCAAGACTGAGTTTGGAAGACCAAGACTCGCCTTGGTCTCGCATTTGGACAACACTATTGAATATGAATTTTCCTCTTACTTTTTTTATCTTTTTCCTCTTTTTTTCTCATTTCCTCTCATCTTCTTATCCTTTTTAAACTTCTAAACCCTATACACAGTTTTAGTTTCAGTTTTTTCTTACTTTCTTTACAAGCTTTAATATTTATTATAATTTTGAATGACATAAATAAGTCTATCTTTTTCTTCGAAATTTGGGTCGAGCCTCACAATACAAAGACAAAACAATTCTTTAAACCCGTTTACTTATTTATTATTATTTTTTCGGTAGTTCGAAACCAGTTTTTAGCGAAAACCGAAAATCGATTATTTTAAGTGCATATAATTTTGTTCCTACCTCATCAACTAATTTATAATGATAATTTTCATATTATAAAAATATTCCAAACGAAATATGATTATGTTTTCATGAAACGAATCGATGGTAATTTTATTTCATAATTGTTTGTAAGTTTCTATCAATTTCATATACTTCAATAAACTTTGTCAGTAGTTATTTTGTCATATTTTTTTATATTCTCAAATTGCTATACTTTTTAAGTACTATTACATATTATTGCAGTTTTTCTTTCATTTTACAAATTGCCAATTTCTGTTCCTTTGATGTTTTTGCTTTTAAAAATGTTTTAGGTTATTAAAACCGGGTTATAAAAATACTTTCATATCATTATCATTTAAATTTTAATCCTTCCTACAGTTTATTTTTAGCTTAGAACATTTTTTTAGTGACAATGTTATATTTGAATATTTTAGCTGTCTTAATGGGTGTTTATTTGGAGGTTGAATTGTTACTTTTTTTATATATTTCACTTTATACTTTGATAAATATTTGAATTGCTAATTATATACCATATTCTCCTGGTTCGAACTGTTCCGGGATATGGCTGTATGCATCTTACTAGATTTTGTACATCATTATGCACTGAAAATAATTGTAAACAAGAAATATCTATAGTTAGCTGATCGGAAAGCTATAAAACTTAACAAGCGGTTATTCTTAGCTACTTTACAATGCCTCATAAAATTCTAAAGGATTGTTAAATAAATATGATGGGAAAATTCCAAAGGGAAGGAAATAGTTATTAAACTACAATATAACTTTATGTGTTTGTCGTAAATATGGTTATTACGACATTATATAAGTTATAAAGGATGGTTAAGCAATATGAATTGATGTATTTAAATTATTAATTAAATGTATATTTTATGTTTATATTGAAAAAGTTGTTATTCCTTTTGCATTTGAGAAGAAGAATATTTTAATGTCAATATGGAGTCGTAAGTGTCATGGCCGAAACTGAGGTTCTATATTCGTATCGTTCCGTCTTTGCTAGTTTGTTATGTGCTTATTATCTCAAATCCTGTTCTCAGACTTTGTAAACAGTGAGTTTATAAA